CTCTTCCCTTTTTTGAAGATGGGGACCACGTTAGCTATCTTCCAGTCATCTGGCACCTGGCCCGAGCACCACGAGCGCTCGTAAAGCCGTGCCAAGGGCCCTGCAATAACCCCAGCTAGCTCCCTCAACACCCTGGGGTGGAGAGCATCTGGACCCACTGACTTGAACACGTCCAGCCCCTCCAGAAGCTCTCTAACCCAATCCTCCCCAACATGTTTTTCTGAATGCTGGGCACCTTCTGTATTCAAGCTGGTTACCAGAATACTGGCATTTTTTAACTTCTGAGGTGACTGTGCATGGCCAAATTAATTTTGGTGGACTTTTCTTTTGATGGATTGGTGATACAGTCATTTCTTCCTTGTCTTTCTCTAGGATTTTTACTTGCATTTCTGCTTGTTCTGCAGTGTGGCATAGACATATTGCCTTTTTAATGTCAGGTTCCTTTTTTGTAGTAATTGCTTATGGACTTTTTTATTATAACATCCCAGGACTGTCTGGTCTTTTATGAGAGAACATGTGAGTATTCCATATTCACAGGACTGACTTCTTAGTTTTTGGTCTGTGACAAATTCTTCCACAGTTTCCTCTTCCTTTTGTGTTCTCATCCTGAACAGATCTCTCTCATAAGTGGTATTTTTTCTAAGAACACAATAATCTTCAAGCATTTTCATCATTTCTGCCAGGCTTGCTTTGTCCTCTTCTGTATGGTAGGCATTAAACACATTTGAGCTAACTACAGACAGTCATAAATCCTGAGGGTGAATCCATTCAGTCTTTGCAGGTTTCTCTAAACTGCCTGGATTGAACTGATAAACAAGTGAACTTGCATTCACTTTTCAAATCAGAAAGGCAGCTGGACCCCTGCGGTGCCCCATATCAGTAGCCCGGGGGTGCTAGAGCACACCTCCCAGCCTGCGGGTCATGGCAGAGAGCTTGGAGCCTAGAGATTGTGATTCCTTCTAGCCATGCCCCTAATTCAGTCTCCAACTGGATGAGGGGGTGGGGATGGGGGGAATGACCTGCCTGCCTGGCTCTGGACCCCCAGACAAGCTGTGCCCAGCAGAGGGGGTACGCCTGCAATGGGGGCTTTACTCCCCACCCCCGGGCCCAGAGCTGAGCCTATCACCTGGCTGGGGAGGGGGTGGGGCCAGGGAAATCAGCCTGGCTTCTGGCTGTAGGGGATGGAAGAAACCCCACTGACAGCTGGGGGAAGAGCCAGCCCTACTCCTCTGGAGCAGAGAGCGCAGCCCAAGGCTGCATAGTATCCTGGGATGCTGGAGGACTATGAATTAACTTGTATTGCAGGTTAGTGCTTCATTGTCTGCACCTGTTAAAAGCAGAGTAATCTTTCACTCTTCCTCTAACTTATCTTCCCTGCCCTCAATATGGCTTTCATATACAGCTCAAATAGTTCCTTTAATTTTTTCCAGGCATTTCCAGCATTCACCAGGGCTCTGGGAGAGCCAGAGTCCCATGGCACTAAAACACTTCCTGGACACCCTGTTAGTCCAGGTGGACTTTATGAAACCAAACTTCACAGTCAACGGGGAATGAGTTTAAAATTAGTTTGAGTTGGGAAGGCTAGCTTTTAAAATTTAGATACATAAGGTTTGATCCATCCTTTATTTATTTTCAAGTATTTGGATTTTAAACCTGGTATTCTAAAAAATCAATATGCTTGATCTTAACACTAAAAAAATGTGTAAATTAATGTGTCAGCCTGCCTAAAAAGCCAGGCTTCTCGGTTTCATACAAAAAAGGGAATCTCTGGTGTTTTAAGAAAACAGACTCATCCTATTGACACCTCAATGCTTCAGTAACTGTGGGTGCTAAAAAAACTCCCTGTGTTAAGGACAAGCATTAGATACAACTTGTGGGGCAGAGCCAGTGGCTCTAGTAATGCTTGAACCTAAGCTTAGTGAAGATTTTGTTCGGATCAAACAAGAAGGAGACTTGGGGTATTCGTCAACATACAGGATGCCTGTAGATGTGCCATGGTGCCACTCCAACATGCTGTAATTACAGAGTGTTGGAGCAGACTCCATTAATCAAGTCTGCTGGAACATGGAAATATCCATGATCCAGTCAGCCTCCGCATCTCGTGTATTAGTGTCCCTGTGGAGGTGGAGGTGCTTGAACTAAAGCTCATTGAATGCACTCCGGCCACCATTTTGAAGTGTGGGGACACTAACACATGAGACCCTGCAGCATTTTGAGTGATTCCAAGAGTAGCTTACTCTCAGAACTGTTCCAAAAGCAGCTTACTCTCATAGCAGCACTTTAATTAGAGAGGGTCCGAGAACGGCTTACCTTCAGAACTGCTCTAATTAAAGCACCCGCTACCCTGCCCACAGAGGATATGTGTAAGTGCCCACAGTTCTTGAACCTGTAGCTACAACTCTTCATATTAAAAGAAATAAAATTGAGAAGGTAAACATTCAGCACAAGGACTTATTGTTATTCTGAGAGGGTTTTTATATAAAAGAGAAGTACTTCCTCCCAAGGCTGTGCTTAAAAAGAAAGCAGCAGCTACCAATTTATTGTGTATGGAGCCAACCAGACTTAGTTGTGAACTACATGTTAAACTG